GGGTGCTGCCCGGTGCTCCGGTGAGGCGGGAGGGGAGCAGCTCCTGCAACCGCTCCGATACCAGCTCCGCTGCAGGAAAACAGTGGGGTTTTGCCCTTTCTTGAGGCTGCAAACTGGTTGCAGCCGCACGGCATTTCGTATAAAGAATCTGCTGGTGTTGGCGAGAGTTTTATCACCCCGAGTGCCCAGCTGAAGACTGCCGGCACCGGAGCATCAGCTGGTTTTAGGGCACTGGCTGTTGCATTTGCGTACTTGGTTGATCTGGTGTTTCAATAACCTAAATATTTATGTGTTCAGCTGTCTGGCTAGCCTCTGCGTCGCAGAGCTTGATTTAAGAGATTACAATGTACAACTTCCATAAAACTTGTATTTTACTGGGTTTAATATGAAGTGATGTAAGTCGACACAAAGTCCTACACACCAAGGTCTGGCGAGCACCTGGCTCCAGCCTGACCCCTCCTTCCTCAAGCAAGAAGTTTTCAGTGTTACAGCTGGCCACAATCCTCGGTCTCTCAGCTGAGTCTGCACAGGGCTTTTAGCTGCTGCAGCAGACCTTCTGCTAATGGAAATCTTGGTGACGCTACAGTACACGAGTTCAGATGACAGGGGACAAAACAGGGCTGCAGCAGGGCCTCTGATCCCAGCGTGCTCTGAGCCAAGGAAAGTGAAGTTCAGAGGAAAGCTGAATCCAAACCTGTCATCCCCATCAAACCAGAATCTGCAGGCTTTGCCCAGAGCAGATACATCACCCACGGTTTGGGCTAAGCTCTCCTCATTTTCCAGCAACTCTTGGGAATGCCAGAAAGACAGAACGAGAGAGCCCTTAGGTATGTAAGCAGCAGCAAGAAGGCATTGAACAAACAGGTTTGGGGTGTCAGTAGTAAGACTTTATTGCAGGTATTCTCTTAGGTAATTTAAGACATCCGATGTCGTCCCGTGCACCCCCTAATTCAGTAAACTATTTCATTTGCTGGTACGCTCACGTAGATTTGCTCTGGAAATGTTTGCAGTAGGCTAAAACCAGTCCTGTAGCTAAGGAAAGAGAGTTCAAAAACCTTTTCACTGTTTTCATTAGTTTCACTTTGCCACTATCAGGAAACACAAAGACAATGGAACAGAGTTTCTGTGGGTTTGGGTTGCTGCTCAGTGGAAAATTTTAATCACTTTTGGTACATCTTTTTCTTGTGTTGGTGGTTTCCTCTGGCTGCCAGGCTGCAGGAATTTTTTTATGGTGGGGATATTGCTTATTCTTGCTTTAAAACTCTACAAAACAAAACCAAAACAGCACTGTGCTTAATAACCACGGTAGTTTTCAGCCGTTTAGATGCTATCCATGCTCGAAAAGTAACATTACGGGTTGATTCTGCAGAAGAATCGATATGCTTCATCCTATTAAGCTTTTTTGGCCATGGTGATAGAAGGTGGCAATGGCCATCAATATTTGAGGTGGGCTATAAATACTTAGGATATTTGATTTTGGTTTTCACTTTTTTCCTCACCCTCCCACTCCCCCGTACTCCTCAGCCAGTTTAAATTGGTGGTCCTGCTTTGATTCATTGACCATTAAAACTGTCCATTCAATTACCTGCAAGAGAGGAAATTTGGCAAGTATATCAGGCTTGCATTCTTCTGCCATTAAAAGGGTTTCAAGTAGTAGCACATCCCCCTTGCTAAGCTGTTTGCCAACAAGGAAGTCTTGTCCATGGTCTCTCAAAACCTGAAAACAGAGAACAAGAAGCAGATGTGATTTTTTTTTTTCTCTTGTGGCTTAATATGATACCTTAAAAGCAAGGTCATACACTGCACGGAGTTGTCTGCGAAAACAAGGAAATGCAGTAAGAACATCTGCAGTACAAACAAATGATCAAACCACGCTGCCATCCTAGGCAGAATTTATCAGTCCTTTCTCTTCTGCATTTTTTCCTGACAGCTCTGTTGTAGCCCTCTTGCCTTCGCTTTTGCAGCTCGTGTAATCAGTGCTGCTGCATTGAAGGCTGAGCTTCATGGAATACAGTCATCACTGCAAACGCCTATACAAAATTTGCAAGAGGGGGTTCTGTACTTTAGGAGGAAAATTCACATAAAAGCTGATGTTACAGTGGCTTTTGCCTGAAACAACATGCAAACTGGAACATGGACATTTGGAGATCTCCGCATGTCCTGGGCTTTTGCAGCTCTGCGTCTCTCCCAGAGTGGTAGCACCTTCTGTCCCCCCTGTAGTGCTCTATCTCCATTCTCATCCCAGCCTCACCAAAATCATAGTTTTTATACTTAAGTGATAATTTTTCTTCTTTGTTTTCCTCAATAAAAATTGTTTGTGTAGATCCAGGATGGAGTTTCAGGAAAACACTATTAATTAAGCCACCACATCTATGTCACGTACCTTCTCATAGACTGGGAAGTATCTGTTTGTGGCCTTGTCCACAATAGTAGCTAAATGTTGCTCCTTTTTATCCGCTGGTTGGAAATTATGGGTCATGAGTAACTCATACAGATCCAATAGCCCTTCCACATACATATCAATTCTGAAAAGAATAGATCCAGTTGGTCAAGTCAAACACAGTAGGTCGGAATAGCACGATAGCTACTGGCATAAAACTCTCCGCATTCGTGGATTGGAGCAGTTCCACCCGGAGTGCAGTAGCTTCTGGGGGTGCAGAGGGAGAGTGGGTGAAAGATGAGTGCAAAGTGCCAAACCAAAAACTGAAAGACGGTACCCCTTCCGTTTTTCACTAGAAATTATACGTCTCTGTATTAAGTTTTTCTGAACCCGAGTACAAAATTGGTATGTGTGTCACCCAAACTTGTGTGAAAATTCCAGTCAGACACGGCAAGTTAAACAGCGGGTCTATGCGATTCCTATCAAATATCTTGACATGTATTTACATGTGCTAATGAACTTGAAGCTTGTAAAAGTACTTCAGGTCAAACCATGTGCCCTAAGAGATCTGTCCTTTAATAACCAGTTCCTGGTTATAGAAGAAGTTTTTTGTTTCCATCGAGGACATTTCCCTGAATTTGATGTGGTGAAAATGCCTGCTGCTGACAACTGCAGGGGACAATTAAAAGCAGCATCAGTCAGACAAACAGCCCTCTGCGCTCCTGACTGCTTTCTTCTGATAGCTCTGTTGACCTTTGATCTTCATGAACTCGCTTGCACCATCCTGCCTCACTAATCTAGCTGGTTATTACTGTGTGGACATCACCTGTGGTCACAGTCAACACGTGCTGCGTGAAAAGCTGCTGTGTCACCCTGAACCTAACTGTGAGCTAGGATATTCTGGTGTTACACAGAGAGGTAGCGTGAACTGCTGTCTAACAAACAAAGGTGGTACTGTTACAGTACAGGGCTCTCTCCTTCAGGTCTTTCCCGTAGAGGTTGTACTTCGTTGCTATGTAGTTGCTAATGGCTCTGGTCTGCACCATCTTCATCCCATCAATCTCCACCATTGGCACTTGCTGAAACAGCAGGGATCCACCTAGGGAAAAGGGGACAGGACAGGGAGACATTCAGTCTCTGAGTGAGAACCATTTGTGGGTGTAAAGTAACCACAAGTATTATTTTTTAATTAGAATCACAGAATTACCTAGGTTGGAAAAGACCTTAAGATCATCGAGTCCAAACATAAACCTAACACTGCCAAGTCCGCCACTAAACCATATCCCTAAGCACCACCTCTTCACATCTTTTAAATACCTCCAGGGATGGTGACTCCACCACTTCCCCGGGCAGCCTTTTCCAGTGCTTGATAATTCTTTCGGTGGCAGTCTTCTGCATTCTCATAACATGGTATGGAAAACACTTGCCATGAAACCAAGAGCCATTTCTTAGAGACATGTTAATAGCTCAGTATTATAGCAATCAGCTTCTTGAAGTTTTTTCAAACCTGAGGAAGTACCCAAATGCAGAACTTTCAGCAGTCATACACTGAAAAAGAAAAGTCCCTGCCTGCATGGCCCCAGCTCAGATGATTTTCATGGAGATTAATACAGATGAGAAGGACTGAAGGATCTGACCCATAATGAGCCAGTTTCTGTCATGCTTTGGTAAGTATTATGGAAATCTGGACTGCTTAAGGGCTTGACAACATACAATGTGAATATAAATGCATGTAATATTATCTTTGTGACTACTATATTGACTTCATACAATGACATACATCTGTACAGGTGTGAAGCAGGGAATAATAGGGGGGTTTCATGCGATTCCTGCAAGAGCCAAATATCACTTGGTGTGAGACTGTAGCCATGTAAATCCCTTACTAGTCTGCAGAAGCCTTACTCTAGCAAGCAAGAAGTCAAAACACCTGCAGGAACCGATCAGAGAAGTGAGTCAGAGTATTTGCTTTATGGAATCATATTTCGTGACTCAAATGGCTGATCAGCTATGTCCGTCTTTGTACCACTGTAAGGGAAGCACGCAGAGAAACTGCCTGCTATTAAGGGCACATTTTCATTTATGCTTGTGTCTCAAAATACTTTTTGAAAGCCAGCAGGTGGCAGGGGGATCAAGTCATTGATCCTAAAGGACAGCAGGACTACAAATGCCAACCCTAGCTCAGACTTCTTTGAAAAGCCAAGTGATCTGCAAGCGCACAGACATGTAATTTGGTTTGGAGGAAATGTGAATGTCATGTCCACAAAGATGGAAGCTGAAGATAGCAAGGTGAGTAGTTCCCTTGGGAAACAGGAACGCGTCAGAGGTAGGGGTTAAATGCTGAAATCTGGAACTCTGGTTTCATACAGATTATAAAGCAACAACTTTGTAGGGAACCTAAAATCCTAATTACTTTCAAGATGATCTGATGAGAAAAACCTGCATTGTCGTAGGACAGGAGGCAACGGGCACAAACTGAAACGCGGGGGAGTCGATCATCTGAACTCAAGGAAAGGCTTTTTTATGGTGAGAGTGACTAAACACTGGCGTGGGTTTCCCAGAGAGGCTGTGGAGTCTCCATTGTTGGAGATACTCAAAACCCAACTGGACACTATCTCGTGCGTAAATGGCTCTAGGTGGCCTTGCTTGAAGAGGGGGGTTAGAGCAGATGATCTCAAGAGGTCCCTTCCGTGATCCACTGAAGACTGAAACAGCTGTGTGGATGATACCATCTGACAAGCTGCAGTGTGCCTCTGTGATACCTCATGTACAATCCAGTCCAGATTTTCTTTTTAAGAGATGCAAGATTTCTTAGGTGTTCTAAGACAATCAATTCTACTTATTGTTACTATTATTATTATTATCTAATTATTAAAAAGTGAAGGAAACTTACCCTTCTGTAACTTTATCAGATCATCCTTTGTTTCCAGAAAACATTCTTCAAACTGCAGGAAATACAGAAGAAAAGTTGTGTTGTCACTGCATGTTTCAGCTTCTGCTTTGTGTGAGATGATTGTTAAAACAGAGAGAGCTGTGTTTTGGGGAATTTCATTTTGAAAAGAAAATAAATCGGATTTGGAAGCAATATCTTTAAGAACTTATTTTGCCTCTGCCACATCCTCTCCTCTTCTCTCTCACATGTGATCCATATTTTTGTGCAGATAAGATTTTGGCTGAAGCTTAGGTGACTGAAAGGCATGAAACCCCGTCTGCTGAGCAAACGAGGACCACGCCACTTCTGCTGTCAGTGCTGGCAACAGATGGTGCAGGCAGAGGAGGGGACAGGTGAATTCACGCAGCAGAACTGTGTCATATTCCCTTTGCCCCAGGCTGGCGAGAGGACAGATGAAGAGAAGAGTTCATGTGCCCCATACAGCTTTCTGGCACGTTACCCATCACCACAACAGAAACTCACAGCTCTTAAAACACATAGATCCCCACGCTCCCTCTCCAGTTTAATGTCAGAAACTGTTAGAGGTAAAAACAATTACTCCGTGTTTTATACCAGACAATACATTCAGGGGTAAGCGACATTGTAATAGGCATAATAATTTTTTTGCTATTTTGGACATTGTCATTTAACTGAAATTCTTCAGATTTGAAAGTGCTCAACCCCTGTGATCAGAAGATAAGAAGCCAGGTCCTGCTGCTGTGGTTTTGAGCTGTTTCTTTCACTAGCTACAGGGGAGAGGCATTTCTGGTGCCACCGGTGGGCTTGGCACGTGATGCCTGGGAGTGAAATGGGAACTTGCCCCACTGCTTAGGGTAAGCTAGTGGTCATTGTTGGCTTCAGCAGCAGTGCACTAAGTGCAGAGCTTGACACTGCTGATCAGTCACATTTTTTATAAGGAACAGTAAAAATATACATTTGTCACATGCTCTTAGTATACGAAACAGAGGCAAACCTCAACCCCGGCGGCTGCTAGTAGCCACCGTATTGGTTCCATTCGGCCTCGCCCATTGAAGTAGTGCAGCTTGGGTTTCCCAGACATGTTTCTATGTGCCTGATGTCCTACTATCTGGAATAAAGAAGTAAGTTTTGCAAAATAAAGATTCAGAATGCTGGTTTTGAGTCTCTAACTGGTTCTCAAGCATTGTTCAAAGCTGTCTTGTTTGAAAGCAATAATTTATGGTCCAAGACTCTCATCAAATTAGTAGAGGAGGTAAAAGACTACACTGAGAGACTGCATTGTATCGTTTTGCCTTAAGATGTCTTTTATATGTGCAGTTTAGTTAAGCAGAACGCTGTACCAAGAGCAATTGGCCCATGTCAGAGAACAAGCAAATTAAAAACCCTTTTGCATCCCAAAGTGTTCTGCTCTGACTGAAAAGCAGGGTGTGCAAGATACACTGCCCTGTTTACTTTGGCATTATCTCAGGATAGTTTACTGTTTAATCAGATACACGATACAAACTCAGCAATTGCTGTACTTTCTCCAGCAGCCATTATGCTCCATTATAAAGTGACAGGAAGGATCTTTTCCCCCATTGTAAGCATTCAATATCTCATTTACAATGCTCCCTGCTCCTCTCACTTCTTTGGGCAAGCACTTGAAGTCGTGGAATTTATGTCTCTGGTAGCATTAGATTTGCCTTTACCGCAGATGGAGCCGAAGTGCAACAACTGCTCAGTTCAATTCCAACTCTTTGCTGGAATTTAAAGCAACAACAATTTCTAAACAGACTGCCACCCCCCCTGTTCAGAACCAGTACATGCACATCAGCAGCAAACATGTAGACAGTGCCTAGTTTGTACTAGCTTCACAGTTATTAACACCGTGTCAACAATAAAGATGAAGCATTGACAGCAGCAAAAGCAAATGGCTAAAAATCCCCATATTCCCCTTGTAAATAACATGTCATGTTCCCTGCAATAGGAAGAAGGGGATGAGAGGAAGCACTCCACACTTCTGAGATCTGAATTTCTTTTTCTTAAATCTGTACACCTAGAAAGCAGTTGATTAATAATTAAAGATTTGATGCACACAACCGTGTTAGTAAAGAAAATACATAGAAGTCCATAAAACCCATTCACTGACTTAGTTTCAAGTACAGTAATTCCCTGTGCATGTCCAAAATCCAAAAAGCTTACCTTGTATGCAGTATAACTCACTCTAAGCTCTCAGTAGCTTTGCCTTGAGATTATATAGCTCTGTAGCCCCTCCTACAATGACTGCAGACAGTTCTCTGCCAATGGAAAACTCCTAATAAAAACAATATTAGGTCTGTTTAGTTACTTCTCACCTACAGAAGATAAATTCCCGACTAATACTGACTATGCAAAAATGTAAGATTCACGAGAGTTCATGATCATTGGGAACATCTGTGTCAGCAGAAAATTGTATGCTTCCTATTTTCATTGTCTGGCAACCTGCTAGTTAAAAATAATCAGAACAGCTGAAAATCCCCAACAATTTTAAAAAATACTGTGATAGCAATCAAAATTTTATTTTATTTTAATATTTTATGTTTTTTTCACTTCCACCAGATTGCCACTCTACGTAAGTCACATCAACTAAATCAGCGTGAGTCCATCACAAGCTTCCTTCCCTTCCTTAGTGATGGGAAAATTATTTCAGGACATTTTTTCTTCTGAATTTCGTTCTTGGATGTAGAAGGCTTTTTTCTGTTTCCATCAAAAATGTTTCCTTGAATTTGACCTGGTGAAAACGCACGCCAGAGACAACAGTAGGAGAAGGTGAAAGAAGAGCGGCATCAGAAGACAAACTGCCCTCTGCACTCTGCTTTCTTCTGATAACTCTGTTGACTTCAGAGAATCAATAGAGCATAAACTCCCGTGCACCATCCTGCCCGTCTAATCTAGCTGGTTAAACACTGTTGTACACATCATGTGCCAGCAAGGTAACGTGCTACATAAAAATCTGCTGAATCACCCTGAATGGAACTGGGAGGCGAGATATTTTTCTCGTATTACACAGGGAGGTTGTACAAATAGTAGTCTATCAAACAAAAGAGATGAGTTATTACAGCACAGGGGCCTCTCTCCTTCAGATCCTTCTTGTCCAATGTCTGTGGACATTGTGCTTTGCTGCTATGTAGCTGAAAACGTTCCTCATCCCATCAGTCTCCACCACTGGTGCCTGTTAGACCAATGTGTTCCATGCTTGACATTAAAATAAGCGGAATTATTTATTTAGAGCTAGAACCACAGGAGGACGAGGCATCAAAATGGTCACTGCTGCAGTGTCTTGTCTTTCAGGAGGTGCCTAATCCCCAGATGGAGCACTCCGTAAGCTCCATGGCCGGTGAGGAGAATCAGCCTTCACAGAAGGGGACTCCTCGCTGACAGCACATCCTATGGACTCTGCCTTCTAATTCAGGCTCTTTGCCTTTCTTATTTTCCTTTGTCCCCTTCCTACATTTGGGGAAGTTCTTCTCTCCAGACTCTGAAAGCCTGCAGCAGGGCTCAGTCACCTTTGCAGAGCGTGGCTCTGTGCTGTGCAGCACAGCACGATGGCCAGCCCTGCAGGGCTGTCAAAGGGGAGCCGCAGGCCTCTGGGCTAAATGCAGCAGAAGCCCACCCTTGGTATTGCTGTAGAAGCACAGGCTGCCCACATTTTGTTTTCTGTTAGCATCCAGTCTGAAATAATTTGTTCGTATTTTATAATGAAACAGAACTCTGCATAAGAATGTGTTATTTGCTTGCTTGAGAAGTGGCTTCTCTCCCCTCTAGCCTTCTGGGCATGCTGACATTTGCTGTTAGCACAGGGCTTTTTAAGAGTAAAAGGTCAAACTACACTGCTGGAAACAGTGTGTCGGCATTGTTGGACAGACACGACTTATGATCCAGAATCTAGGATAATGTGGGAGATTGAAGGTTTCCCTGCGTAGACATGTGCACCAAGGTGTGCCTGATGGTGTTGCACAAATCCAAACGCACTCATAGGTGGCTTGGCTGGATTAATGATTTGTAGGCCTGGCCGTGATAAACTCTAGGAGATAACACAGAAGGTCTAGTGACTGCTCCTACAAGGAGTTGACATCCACTGTGTCAGGGGACTGCAGGGTAGCGATACATGAGTTCGAGCATGAAACTTAATCACAGTGTAGACAACTTGAGAAAACTCATCTCCCCGAACTTTGTAGCCACCTGTGTATAGTCTAGCTGTCAAAGTCTCCTTGAAACAGGTGTAAATTCAAGCAGGCAGAGTCCCTCCCCATACACTTGAGCTACAGCTGATACCCAAACCAAAGCCAGCAGTATGTACTCAAAAGGTGGATGGATGCTGTCTCAGCTGAGGCAGTTAAAAGTTTAGATGAAGCCAGTCCTTTCAACCTTTCCTCATGGGTAGGGGAGAGGAGTTTTCAAGGGGTGATTTATCCTGATACTGACATTTCTTACCCTATGAGAGGTATCCACCAAGATTTCAGAGAAGTCCTCTTCAGCATAGTTACAAGCCTAAATAAAAGTGAAAAATGCAATACAGTCTGTCTCCCAATTTAGCAGGACTTCTGGAAATGTCACTTCACTGAGCTTGTAAAGTATTTTGGAAAATGCTATAGAAGCGCCATTTTTACCTTGCATGCCTGAAGGCACTTGATCTCTTAAGTACTTATAGGTTCAAATTGACCATCCAGGAGTTAAAACCAGGGGAAATGTCAAAGATACCCTGATAATTTAGGAGCTAATATTCACGCCAGCTGCTGCTGTTGCCCACCAGCTTGTTTCTGTTAGCCTCTTCCTTTAAAACAATAAGATATCATTTTTTTTTAATTTTATTTTTCAGACATGGTACTAATTTCTTGATAAAGCATTAGAAAATGTTTTGTGTCATCAGGCTTTGTGAACTTTCCTCTCTACATAAAACATATCAGAATTATGTTAATTTGGGTTGGAGCTGTGTTCAAAATTATGAGCCAATATTTAAAATGTGCTTGCAAGGGAAACAGGTGCACACACAAACTGTTGTGCCTTATTGCATTAGCAGGGGGAATAGGGACTGTAGAGAAGGGAAACTCATCTGTGCCTAACGAGACCTGCTGGGACATGCCCAGCCCTGCCTTGCTGCAGAAAGAAAGTGCAGCTCCAGTGTCTCATATCATTTAAAACAAAGGTCCCACTTGTTGTTTTTCCAAACTGGCGCTGCCTATGTTCAGCATGCTTGAAAAGTGCGGCTCACACAGCAAGTCCCATGAAACATTTCTCCACACTGAATTACGGCCTCTGAGCCCGGCAGGGTAAGCGTGCAGTGTAACCATCTCATAAACCCATGAATATGTTTACAAAAGAGAGCTCTGCATAGAGAAGAGAGAAAGAGAGAAAATGTCCTTATCTCCAGTGATCCTCATGCTGCCTTAATGCTTGGCTTCAGGTGTGTGAAGGGCATTAGGTGGTTTCCCAACCATCTTGAAGAGCAAGTGAGTTACCTAGAAACGAGCAGGTGTTCTCAGTGCTACTGAGCTTGAATTATTTTTACTATTATGTATTTTTGCCAGCAGTTCCTCCCATGACAGTCTGAATACCAAACACAAGACCTTGCCTAAGCAAAACCAAAACAACACTTTGATATTCAGTGAAAATTAGTGACCATCTTTCTTTGGCTAACATCAGCAGCTCCTGCCATCTCCATGTGAGGCCCACAAAGTGAAGGTTGTGAATGGAGTGTTACCTGCTCACCGTGGCTTTTAGAGCTCTCTCCCCACATAACAGTATGTTAAGCTTTCAGATTTCCTTCTAGTTCCCTCTAGCTGGCTCCCTTTCTCTGTCTCTCTCTCTCCTGCTTGGTTTTGTGTCTTCCTGGCAAATTCCGAACTGTCTCACTTACCTGTGGTTATTCCCTATTTTCCACTCCAGACTTCAAGCCTCTGGACCTTTCTCCTTTCTGGATCTGATTCTGTCCTCGTAGAGACAGTCCATACGTAAGAATAGAATGTAGCATACCAATGATGGACAGGCAATATCAGGATTTCCAGAGCATTTCATACCTGAAAACCTTCTCTTCAGCATCTTTCTTCTTCTTCTCTCAGCTTTCTTTCAGCTAGCACAGAAAGGATCCTCATATTTGCAGAACTTCAAGCATTTCTTAGATCACTACTAGTACTGATTTCAGACTCCTCCTCTCCGAACCCAGGGTTAAAGGATTAACTTCCTTTGCAAGTATCCCTCCAAGCCCACTCCAGCAGTAACACGGTACAAACCTGCACGACTCCACTCTAAGGTCACTTATGGCCCAAAGCAAAGGTGCATTGACCGTTTTGACATCTGACCTGCAGGTCCTCACCACCCTAGAGAGAGGGGTGCCACCCACTTAACCCTGCTGTGAGCTCTTCCTCCAGCAGAATTTGAGAGCAGAAAACCGATGGGAAAAGTGACCTCTGTTTTGAAACCCAAGTTGGGTGTGGAAAGGAAGACTGACGTACCAGGTACCAGAAGCCTACATTTATCTGCCTTCTCCCGACAGTAACCTCCAGCCCTCTTGCTCCGTGGAGCCTGAGCATGCCATATGGCTCCTTGAACTGCTTGTGCTCTCTGCCCCTACAGTTTAAGCCAATATATGTCCTATACCAGTGGTGGGAAATGCAATTGGGCTCAAGTTTTTTGTAACTCTTGCAGGGCTAAGCTGCAAATAGGGTACGCTAGCATTTTTCCAGCAACCTTATTTTGAGAAGAGTTACTCTCTTGTTTAGCTTGCTTGAAAGCTTGACAACACTAAGGAACATGCTTTTTTTTTTTTAAATCCTGGTTGCAAAAGTAAAATTTTACAGGAGTGCCTTACCTTACACACGTGTATCACATCAGTATATTTTCTACTTCAGTTCTATTTATGCTTAAAGCATAAAGGTGCACTTGAGTACACAGTTCACTAGCACTCACCGAGTTCTGTGTGTAAGAACACACTTGCCCTCAGATGAGCAAAGATGAGTGTTTGCAGGTCATAGCCAAAAGCCTGCAAAACAATATCAGACACAGAAAAAGAACAACTTGCCTCTGACAAAATGCAGAGAATATTCAGTTAAAAAGCCCACCTCATCTAGTTGCGTCCTAACAGAAATCAATAATTAGTTGTCCTTCTGCAGTCTGCTGCATGGGAGAGGCGTGGGGGAATGCTGGAGAGTGGGCAATCTGAAAAGGAAGTTCATTCTGCTGTTTTCTTCCTACCAGCTTCATTTTCCAATATTTTTTTTCCCTTTTTCTACACTTTTATTGTGGCAATATTAAGCATCAGATTTGGTTACTGACATCTGCTGAAATAAAGTTTTCCTTCTGTGCAGATGCTGCTCTGACACATCAGGACCCGTCACTAGGAAGTTTTTGTCTGCTGTAAATGTATATTTTGTTGTGAAATCAATAGAAGCTGAACCTCTGTTGCTCTGTGTTCTGTCCTACAGCTGTAGAAATAAACCACCTCTGCCTTACCTGAGCCTGCAAAATAGATTGTGTATTTCTTCCGTGATGCCTCGCTCTCAAGGGATAACATATTTGTAACCTGCTTGTGAAATGCTGGTAAGATCATAAACAAGGTTTGAAATAATTGACATATGAAGAAAAATAATCAATTTTTCAAGGAACTTTGCAGAGAGATCTTAAAAAATCCAATTTAACCACAGGCCTTAATTTAAAGATAGTAACATTGACTACATTTTGACCTTCTACAGGTGTGTAAGCAAGTGATGTACCAACCAGCTCACAGTAATTCTACTTTCATGTCCAAAGCCTATCCTGTTGCTCAGTGTGGAGAGGTAGAAGCTGCATGAATTGCATGGAGATGTACATCGCTGCAGTGGCATCTACCATGGAGATGGCATCCCTGCACCAGCAGGCACGCAGTCGCTTTCTTCTTGGGTCAGCCCAGAGGTGCCTGGTGACACAAGGTGGCAGGGTGCACACAGCACCGAAGCCACACAGGCATTCGCCTATGTCATTGCCAACTGCTGACAGATAAATCCAGGTACTTTTCCTATAAAATCCAGCCTTCTGGATTTTACAGGAAAAGCAGCTTCTTCCAGGAACTGCCTGAGACCTGCTGCTTTCACTCCCTAGGGAACCAGGAGGAGACAAAGCACCGGCGGTGGCGGTGGCAAAAGGAGGCTGGTAGCACAAAGCCGAGCACTTGGGTGGCCTGGGGAATCGTGGCTCAGAGTGCCTGGTGAGGATGAGGCACACTGGGTACATGAGGAGCCACCTCGAGATGAGATCTTTCCAAGACCTCCTGTGACTCCCAGAGGATTAGGTAGTCCCGACCAAGTAGGATTGCCAGTCTTGAGGAATAAGGCGGCAATGCCAGCCACAACGCCTGCCACTGTGGTGCCCAATGGCCCAGTGTTTGGAGCAGAGATCTGGGGTGAGGGCAATGCAGGTCCATTCCTCCCTCCAACCTGAGCGACCCTGACATCAGACCTGGGAAACTTTTGGGTGGCACATTCTTCATTGCTCACCTTGGAGCAGAGCCACTTTCCAGGAAATATTAAATTGTTTTTAAGTTAGAGATAATGAGCACAACTCACTAAATGGTTAGTGAACGTACCTGCAAGAGGAGAAATTGATAGTAAGGGAAACTTCAGCAACCTTTTTCCACCTTTAATACATCTGAGCTGTCTTAACCATAAAACCTGTGCTGCTCTGTGACCCCACTCCTCCCTTCCCCATTGCCACCTATGAGCTGTCTCCACCATTGCAGACAGGCCTCGCTGGAAGGACCTGTGACCACCTTGGTGTCACTGGTCCCACCACATTGCCACAAGGGCAATGCCAGACCAGCAGCACCTCCAGGCTACCCACATTTCATTCTGTGCAAAGTAGCAGCTCAGGCTCAGATTTTGCCCTCTGGAGTTCTCCAAATATCACGAGGCAGTGCCTGGGCACTGGAAGATGCCATCTGTGTTACTGAATTGACAGCGGGTTGTTGGTCTGAACCTGCAGCTCTCACCCAGATGGCTCCCAGCCATGGTCAGTCCACTCCAGGGCCCAGACGCAACAGGCTGTTGGGATGTAGCTACACAGCTCTGGGTAATAGGAGAGTTTAGAAGTGTGTCTATGGCCTCGTAGCCAGGGAATGGAGCCTGGTGCTTCTTGTTTTACTAGGACAAAGATGTAGCTGGCCATTGGTGTCCAGAACTGGGGCTAGGAGGCAGCTGAGAGTCTCCCAAAATGACAGATGAATGCACAGAAAGCAGCATGAACAAATATTGAACCTGAGCGATCGTCTGCTTGAAGATGCAGCTCTGCCCTCCGCATACTTTGAAGAGGTTCATCACGTGAAGAGGTGCACAGACTCCAGCGTGTGGCGGACAACGAACTAAGGTGCCTGGAAGATTCACATTAAAGAGGCAGAGGAAGAAAATAATGGAACATCGTAAGAGCTGGTTCCTGGACAAGACCTGGGAAGCGTGAGAAACCAAAGAGATTTGTGAAACTAATACTAAATTAGAAGTTTCACTCACACAACACTGTAGAAATAATGCCATATAAGTACTTACCAAAACTGAAACAAATCTACTTCTTTAAAAGGATAACTGATTCAGTGAGCCACCTTCTCTTTCTTTTCTTCCATAGCTCTTATTCCAAAGCCTATTTTCATCCAGAAAATATCTTTTTCAACTAGTCACATTTTGACAGTACTAACCCAGCATCGATCTTTTTCCAAATGAATAAATTTCCTACTCTACAAATAGTTCTTTGCCTCCATAGTCCTTTATTATCATGTTTTGCCAAGTATTTTGTATCAATAAAGACAAATCTGCTGTCACATTGCCAGAGTAATCAGAATGCTTTATTTTGGTTTTGGAGGGGTTTTTTTACCATTGGTTTTAACTACAACAATACTAATTTACTGAGCTTCCTAATTCCTTTGGTTTGGGGCTTTCCCCCCCCCCCCCCCCCCCTATTTTTTACTTAAAAATCTTCAAAACAGTTTCTATATAATGTTCATCTGGTGGGGGTTTCCTTGGGCTGCCGGGCTGCAGGAACTTCTTAATTGTAGGCATATTACTCATTCTTACTTTAAAAGCCTAAAAAATAAAAAACAGAGTAAGGGAGAAATTCCTGCTACTCCAGTAGCAAACAGTGCTCCTTGCACCGAACAACTGCTTCCCCCTGCTGCCAGAAGAGATCTCAGTATTCATTCAGATCTTGTGCCATCCCCAGTCTCCTTCCGCGCAACAGAAGGACCCCGCTGCTGCAAAAACCCTGTTCTTACAGAAGAAGGCAGTACTGGAACAGACAATATCTACATCTCCACTGACTGAAAGAAACTGAAGGCAGAAATTCAACATCTGGGAGCACCAGGGAATAGTTTTGAAGGTACAAATACCCAGCTCATGACCTTCTTCTCATTGCTGGTTCCGATGGTGCAAACTACCACATGGGCAAACCACTATATGTATTAAAATGATTTCCATTTTTACTACATTATGGAAGTATCTGATCTCTGTTTACATCTAGCATGGCCACTGTTGTCCCACTGTTCCAGCACCTCCAGGATTGCATAGGTGAAGGTGAAATGTCCGGGGGCATCCTTGGCTCAACTCGGTTGTCCAGTAGAGGCTTCTAGTACCATGTTGTAGTCCAGGATAGCCAAAATATCTGCATAGGGCTGGCAGATATAACAGCCCCTCAGGGAGACCTTTTCCCTTCTGGAGCAGTGGCTGGAGGCCAGGACTAGGATTAGGAAAGAGCTGGGCATCTCAAGTGGCAACAGATGCCTGCATTAAGGCAACCGACTCAAGGATCGTGAGACATCTCATCATACAGACAGTCAGAGAGGACTCGCTGATGCAGACTGCAAATAGCTGGAAACCCCACAGTTAGCTGAGCAATCTAGGTTAAACCTTTTCTAACAATGGGACTAAGGGGAGAGAGGAGCTTCACAAATGCTGGCAGACATATGAACATAATTTCCTCTTCCTTACAGACACTGGAAGGATAAGGGGAAAATACAAGAAGCAATAAAAGAGAAAACTGTGAAATAAGTAACCAATAATCTTAGAAACTTCTTCCCTTCTGGCAGTGAAGGAATCTTCAAGACATGGCTTCAGCAGAATTGTGCCCATGCCTAGTGGCTACGATGTCTTGCTAGAAGATGGGAGCTAGAGGCAAGAATTACCTGAGGCTGCAAAACTGTATGGCATAAAATCAGACACACATTACTAGCCAATTTGTGGCTGAAGTGCCTCATTCTGTCACAGTAAATTCAGATTTAAACTGTTGAGGTTTAAGAGATTTTAAAGTGTTGAGAGTTAAAAATTAAAAAAAAAAAAAAAAAAAAAAAATCAAAGATCTTTTCGTCATCAATTCCAAGCAGAAAACTTAACTGTGGTAGTCTGCTGCTGAACAGCTTCTTTTATTAATGGGAATAAAGCCAAAGTCTCCGAGTGCACTCCTCAAATAAACAGTTGTAAGCACAAAGAAGCATGGCCTCAAGCCTTGCATCCTCAGCCCAAATTTGCATTTTCTACACTGCTTTATTACCAGGATTACAGGCACATGGGAGGACTACTGAACACTACTGGCTTTTTTTCAGGCACAGTCTACTTGGGTCCACTGTATCTCAACATGACTCCTGCAGGTCGTGCCCCAGGCTTGCCCACGCTCTGTGCTCTACAGCATGCTGCGTGACTGGAGGCTTCTGATTTCTGGTCAAGTCTCACCGCAGAAGTGCCTCACTTCTGCTTGGTTTCAGACTTTGTACATGGCACAAAGGCAGAGAATTCATCCTCGATTGTATCGAGTTCATTATTGAAAGACATCCGTGGCTCAACGCTAAGGCTTGAGTCTCTAGTCATACTGTAGCAGGCAGCAGTGAAGTGAGGCTACCGGGATCCCAAAACTGTAATAGCAGCCAGTACAAAAAATGGGACACTGTACCTTTATCTAACACGTCAACCTGTATCACAAATTTAATTTGTTATTTGGTATTAGATAGCATCTGCTGGCAGGAAGCAGGAAAATGAAAACAGGGAAGCTTAGATCAGTGAATCCCTTGGGATGACATTAATTTATTTCTGTTGAGGAGGCATATAGCACTCAAACAGGGACAGGCATACCTGAACAAGCTTAGTCAGGAGCACAGTGTCTTACCACAAACCAACTAAATCAGTTCTCTCTTGTGCTTAATGTTAAGCAAACATATGACAGTGACAGTTCCTCAAAGAGACCACACTCCTGATTTACGTAGCATGGAGAGACGATAACTTTGGAATTGCCCTCCAGCTCCCGAATACAGCCATGCTCAATAACAACATTACCTGCAACTGAGGAAACCCCGATAGCACAGCAGGTATTTTCTCCTCCACTGCTAAAATAGCTTCCATTAGCTGAACATCTGCCCAGCTGAATTTGTTGCCCACGAGAAAGTCTTGGCCATGTTGTTTCAAAACCTGTAGAATACAAGAGAATGTGGGCTGCAGATGAGAACTAGACATATGATGCCTGGCAGCTAAGCCTCACAGCACAGCTATAGAGCTGAAAAGAGATTATAGCTGAAATTTCAGGATGGAGTTTTCAGCTGGAACCTGTGAGCCTAAATCAGTTCATTGCTGCTGGGGATAAAAGCTGAATTCTTGTATCACACAGACTACGAACTTTGGTCACTCGGTAATGATGAATGATGCTAGGCACTGGGAACAGGACAAGGGGTAATGGTTTTAAACTAAAACAGGGTAGGTTTAGGCTGGATATAAAGAAGAAATTCTTTACAATGAGGGTGGTGAAACACTGGAACGAGTTGCCCAGAGAGGTAGTGGAGGCCCCATCCCTGAAAACATTCAAGACCAGGTTGGACAGGGCTCTGAGCAACCTGATCTAGTTAGCGGTGTCCCTGCTCGCTGCGGGGGGTTGGACTAGATGACCTCTAGGGGTCCCTTCCAACCCAAAACTTTCTATGATTCTATGAACAGGGACAAAACCCCGCACTTAAGTAGACTGGTAACAGTCATAGAATTAGAAACAGGGATAATGGAGGGACTAAAGAGTAACTTGGAGAATTTATAAAATTGCCATTTAGATATTTCATTTAAAGTTATGTCCAATGCTGATGGAAGCAAACTTAGGAACTTTCGTGGTGGAAGCAAACTTAGGAACGCAGGATTAGAACAGCTAACCAAAGAAAATCCCTGCCTTTGGGAATAATTTATCATTAGTCATAAGAACTTCTACGTTGTTCAGCCTTTATTATTGTTTTCCATCAAAACTAGATGAATGTTACAAAAGTGAGAAATGTTGCCAGATGCCTAAGTCATATGGGTTTGGTTCTTTGTTTTTAAAAAGTGGGATGTGCAGAAATCTATGACTATTGTTTCACTAAATACTCCTAATCTTTTTGCCTGATGAATATGTTCCAACTGAAATTACATGTAGAAGAGAGATGTGCTCCAAACAAATGTAAGTGTGTGGAACTATCCTCTCCAGGAAAAAAAAAAATCATACGTGCTTGCTTTTACTTTAGTGAGAAGCTTTGCTGTATAGCCGAGAACATACTGCTTTGTTTCATTTGTAGATGTTCAAATACCAGAGTCCTGACAATACAAGCCAACAATGAGAGAACACGTGTTGCTGTATTTTCGCTTCTTTGAGAGAGCCAAGAAAGCTGAGGATTTGGAACTGACCTGCACTACAAAGATGTTCTTATTTGGGGGAAACTTTCTGATGATTTTAAATACAAGTTTTAGACATATCCTCACTGTCACTTACCTTTTCAAAGACAGGGAAGTACCTGTTAGTTGCCCTCTCCTTAATTGAGTCAAGATTTTTCTCCTTTGCCTCAGGTGGAGAGAAAGGAAACATCAAAATCATTTGCATCAGATCTGCTATTCCTTCTACATACATGTCAATCCTATTGGTGGGGTAAAGACAGTAGAAAAGAGCACAGGAGTTATTTAATCTGTTTTCCAATTAACTAAGGAAAACTTCTAGCAATTTTACATCACCACCATAGTGCCAATTTTCATAGCCAAAACTAAACATAAACTAAAGTTAAATATTTTTTTAAACAGACTAAAAGCCTGTGTCTGCTCAGCAGCGTTTCAGAAGCAGTGGTTAAAACCTAAGCAAAGGCTAGCGTCCTTGCTTTTTATTGTGTTAGCCTTTCTCATGCCTTTCTACTGGGTTTACAGGATTAAATTTGTTACATATAACGCAGCTATCAAATAAGAGATTAGTCATTAAGTGAAAGGAGGTGTTACAGTACAGGGCTCTCTCCTTCAAGTCTTTCCCATAGAGATTGTATTTCCCTGCTATGTAGCTGAGGATGGCTCTGGTCTGCACCATCTTCATCCCATCGATCTCAACCAGGGGCACTTGCTGGAACAGCAGGACTCCATCTAGGGTGGAAAGTTGAGAGAAAGCTTGTTAATTCCTCCTAGAGTGCTAGCTTTACAGGAGAGCACGAGGATGAGCACAGTTCTTTTGCAGTGTCGGAGATCATTGATGTCTTGCCCAAACTGTAAAACTCCATGCAGTAAACTAACATTGTGGGAAAGATCAAATATTAACTAGCCTGCATCATGCTTTTGTAGCTAGGTCATCGCAGTGCAGCTGGGCCCCTTGCTCCACAGCTTTGCCAGAGCTTCACTGGCTGACGGAGCTGGCACTGCCTGCTCCTCTGCACTGCTGGACCCTGCCTCATGCTGGCAGGAAAAGCCTGAACCAGCACTTTCAACCCAAGGGATCAAAGGAGAATAAAGATATGTGTTAAATCTGAACTTCAAAAAAAAATCCAATTATTTTGAATGCAGATCGGTTCCCTGTCAGGGACATACAGATGAGTAGAAAGAACGAAAGGGGTAGTACCACAGCAAGACTGAGCTACTGGGATAAAGGAAGAGGTCAGGCCGCTTTAAATATCATGAAGCTACAGAGTTAGAGACAGGGACTGTGGCAGCAGCTGCTGTTTAAATAAGTTTTATGCAGTCACTCAAGGGACAAAAGTTTGAGAGTCCCCATAGGTCTTCATTACGGGCCTACACTCAGTGTCATCCCACAACAATTTAAGCCTACTCAGATACATCTTTGTAGCCCCATTTTCTCCCAGTGCTGGAAGCAGCATTTGTCTGAGCCTTCAGTGAGGCAGCTCCGAGAGCTAAGCTGACAAAGATTCAGCTTAGCAAAGTCAGTCTTCTCCAGACCAGTTTTCTGCTGGACTAATTCACTATCTTTGGAGATACTCCCTCTTCTATTTACCCATTAAGGGCATCCAGAGAACAATCGCACTGTTATTTCACTGCCCTGTTAAAATCACAGCAAAATTCCAAATCCAACTAGGCAGCTGCCACTTCGCATTGCTCAAAGTTAATAATTTATTTTAATTGCTCAACTTTAATCTGTTCAGTGCATCCTTCTTTCAGGTATCAGGGTTCATTCTAACAGGCATGACTGTTTGCTTTTTTTTTCTCCACAGAGCTATTAAAATACTTTGGTAGTCTAGAATTAATAAACATTCTTCACTCATTCTGTATTATTAATTTAGTTTAAATTCAAAGAGTAGTTCTCTCTGCAGCAACAAATAGCCTGTGTTTGTTTCTTGCAGACATTCACGGGAAGATTGTGTGTCTTCATGCCTTTCCAGAACACACCTCTGCAGCTTAAGGAAGAAACATTACTTGGTATCTATCTAGCAGAAACACAATATAATGGGAAAACTAACAGCTCTGCAAGGATATTTTTCAGCAGAAAGATGTGAAGTGAAAAATAAAATGTGACTTTGTAGCCCTTGACAAAAAGTGACGCAGCACATCAATGAACTGAATGCATGGTTTGTTTTCTTTATCTACAGCAAAGAGGGATTTCTCTGTCATGACCACCAGTGGACTGCTTCTCCTCACTTTGCATCAAGAACCACTTCACATAACCACTGCATACAATATATATATGCAGAATTAAAAGCGGTTTGCCACTTGTTTTGTGGATTGGACTGTGCTGGTGGAAGGTGGTCTGTGGAGCATGCATTGAAAAACCATCATCTGTTTGTCACTGACCAGCAGAGCTTGTTGATACCCAGGTAGCAACTTGGGCAACCTGTGGCTGCACAGACTGAGCCAGGCTAGTCTCTCACAGGCCAACAGGTACAGGTCTGGCCAGGCCGATGCTATTTAACTCTCTCAGCCTCCAAAACTGCTGTCTACCTGCACGCTGCCTGCTGGGAACAGCCCCTGGCCCAGGCGTCATCCTGGACACTGCTGGGGCATTGCTTAGAAGATTGTCAGCTGGCATGGGCTAAAGTCATGCCCGGGCCATTCTAACAATGCAGTGGTGTCTAAACACAGGATATCCTGGCAAAAAAACATGTTGGTAGTGAGAACAAAAAATTAGAGGGAGAGGTAATGTGAGATTATTCATGTTCAGTCCTGCCCCACACAACTGGCACCGTTCCAGAGGTCCTTTTCTCACGATGACTAACTGATTTGTCTTTCTTCAACATATCATATCAAACCCCACCTTTTGCTTTGTGTTCTCACTCTTTTAAGCTTAATACATATACGTTAAAGCCCTTGCTCTTCTTTATAAAACTTCCCTATTCTTTTCATCACTATTTAATTCTTCTCTCTGGCTATGCATAGGCCTGGACACTGGATCCAGGATTGTACCACACAGTCTGGATTGATCAGCTCTGTGGAGCAAATTCAGATTTGGGCTCTCAGTATCTGAGCTATCTTGTTTAGAGCTGTAACTGGTGTCTTTACACTGCACTGCCCTCCCACGTTGTCAGATTCCCAGCCAGCTGGACCTACAACTTTAATTCCTACCTTCTCAACACCACTGCTTTTTAAATTTTTGTTCATTTTAATTTCCCTGTCAGAATTTCTTTAAACACAGCTTTCCCTTTCCAAGCAAGCAGCCAGAATACAGGCAAGTCCTCTTCCAAGTCTCCCAGTATGTTTTGGCAAGCCTAGCCTGCTGTGAGGCTTCTCTTACATGTCTTGGGCAGCAGGTAAACTGCAGGGCAGGTGCACTCTGTAGCGCTCCTCAGTGCCAACTCCTTCCCCACCCCAGGAGCAAGGTCTTCTCCTTCCAGGGCAACTGCTGGGTTTCCTCTGGCCTACAACCAAGGCCAGTGGCTGGGGGTATGCACTGGTGTTTGGGAACTGGTCTCACCCCCAGGGCTGACATGAAGCCTGTGTGGCTTGCTGGTTTGACCATGTCAGGCATTCCACTGACTCCCTGTTTAATTGTGGAAAGCTTCATGGCTCAGGCTTATCCTGCTTAGGACTGTCACTAGTGTGTTCGCACAGAGCCTAGCACAAAGGAAAACTGGCTGTCCTGGGGATTTTGGTGCCGTGCCAGCCTTTCATTTAGAGACTTATCCCACTGAAGTTCAGAACCAACACACCATACCAGTCAACAACAGCTGGCACAGACCAGCCACATTGACTCTGTTCAGCTGTCTCTGCCGACAGAGCACGGTGGTCACATCTAAATGGCATCTTGGAAGTGGCCCCAGCCTTGGATAACACCCAAATGATGCCTGGGAATTGCTTTGGGGAGTGCTATTCACCCTGGGCCAAACTGTGCCAGGAACTACACTAACAGCTCAACAGCAGAGAAGTGGCTCAAATAGGAATGTTTGCTACCCCTGTTTAACATATTATGGTAAACACAGTCACAGCAGCTGTGGCATTTAGCTTATAGGAGTTGTTCGGCACCAGAAAGGACAGGTTACTCAAAACTAGTATTTCAGTATTCTAGGAGCACACCTAGATGTTTGCACTGGTTTAAATAAACTAATGTTAAACCACAAATTTAGCTAAATTGGAGCAATTTTTTGAAGGACTAAACCTCAAATGTCAAATTCTTACCATTGATTAACTTCTGATACTGCTCTTTTGTTTCCAAAAAAATTTCTTCAAACTGGAAAAGGAGAGAGAGTGTTACACCACTGTATTTCAACCTTTTTCTTCATAAGTGACAGCACATAACCACACACAGAACAACCCAACCGAGCAAAAGATGATGAGCCAGCTCTTCAGCTGCTCTGCTTGGCCGCACATGTCCTGGGGATCCCCCACCCAGCCTCAGAGCTGGAGAGGAGCAGAAGGGTTGGTGCCCTGAGGCAGAAGCAGCCAGGGTCAGAGATAACCTTAGTGTGGGTAGAAACAGACTTCTACAGAAGGTTGCAGCCAGTGCCAAGGGAAGCACAAGGCAAATCAACTATTTCTAACCCCACCCCTGGGCATGCACATCAACAATACACTTATTTATACATATTGTAACCACAAACTCAGTAAGACTGAGGTGGTTTGGCACAGCTGGAAAACTCAGATTTCTTAAGTGCCTTTAAATAAATCCGCATTTTGACCCATTATGATTAATTACTTCAGGGGACTGATACCAGCTCTATAAAACTCCAAGCTCCACCGAGTTTGCACCCCAAATATCACCCACTGAACAGGGTAGTTACAAACACGCAGTGTCACTGGCCAAATGAATTCAGCCAGCCCCTTGCAGCCGTTTATCCTCCATGTACACGTTAAATTGTTCCTTACTGAGGCCAGCTGAAGACAGTCGGTACAGCATCCCAGACTGGTGTTAACTAACCTCCACGCCGGCTGCAGCCAGCAGCCATCGCACGGGCTCCATTCGCCCCCTCCCATTACAGTAGGTAAGCCTGGGCTTCCCCGACATGCCTCTGAGCTCCTGGTGCCCTGGAAAACATTAAGCAGAAAACAGCGTCTCAAAACTGGTGTAAGTACCATTATTTGGAGGGAAGACAAAGGCTTTTATTCTCACTACGTCTGTTGAAGTTTGAACTTCATCTGGTTTAAAACACAAAGTGAGAGATGGACAAGTGACACCACACAGCCTGTGCTAGGAAAGGAAAGATGTGCAGATCCGTAAAGCCTTCCCCAGTGCTACTAGGGAGGTTTGTTATGATTAAAAGCAAACACAGACATGTTTAAACAAGTGGTATGAGTCCCAAGCTACAGGGGGAGGGAACCTTGTTGCATTTTAAGACAATTTTACAAAGCCACCAAAAATCCTACCCCAGCCTCAGGGAAGTTCCTCACCCTCGTTGCCATCATCCTCATTGAAAAGGTGAAGAAAAGGAAAAACATAACATACTGGTAGGCTAAAATTTGCTTAGCTTTTTTTGCATCTTCAACTGCCATCACTTCTTTCCTCATATAGGGGCAAATGAATTGTTAATCTTCCCTGTATTCCGTGAGACAGGCTGAGCTTCCTTAGCAGTCCTATTGAACAGCTTCAGCCTGTTTCCTTGCTGCCTATGGCAACCTCAAGGTGTCCCTCGAATCCAGATCTGGAACCTGGCTGCACTGGCCCCAGCTGCCCCCGAAGGTAGCCCTCGTGGCACCAGGACCACTGTGCCCAGGGGACCGGCACTTCAGAGGCTGAAGCTCACCGTAACAGCACCTCTCTGCACCATGAGCAGAGTGTGCGGCAGAGAGAGCACACCCACGTTGAGATGTTCCATACGCAGGGACAGCCAAAAGGACTGGCTGTGCTGACACTCAACTACAAGTGCTTCCAAACCCAGGCCTTAATTTCTCTGTGCTTCATTGCCCTAATTCCTAAAAAAATTGGACTAGTGCTCCCCCTTCACGAAGATGTTAGTATCATACACTGATGACTGGGAGAAAAAAAGAGGTTAAAAATGGGTATCCTAATTGTGTCCTACTGGCTCAGAAACCAGAGTAGAGTGCCTGATTTAAAAAAATAATTTTAAAGACAACCCCAGTTTTCTCAGAGCTATATGCCAAAGCTGCAACATTACGTCTGTCACACTTTCCATCCACATGACATTTCCCATTCGAGTCAGGTTCCATACACTCTTGTGATGTGTTTTCTTCAAGTCACAGCCCTTTGCAAGTGTACTTAAAATAAAGTACATTTGGAACATATTTTGCCAAAACTTTTAAAGAACAGTCATATTGAGAGTTCTCCCTTGAACAATTCTGGTAAGAGCCAAGTCACAGTACTACAATAAATAGGGATATTTTAGGTAATTAAAATTATATAATCCAAATACACATAAAGGAGAAAATGATTACCTCCAATTTTAACGGGCAAATAGCTGTTGCCAATTACAATGTTTTGCCTCTACGTGGTTTTATCAGTTTCTGCCCGTTCTGTGACTAGCTTTCACTGCACGGCAGTGCAGCTTATCTGTGCCATTCACAACAGCTAACTAGTGCCTCTTTCATTATCATACTTCTCAGATACATTGCGTCCATACCATTTCAACACATATTGCCCCAACTGCTAACGTGCAGACACTTGAAACAAATAAGACTTTTCCTTTAACTAAAAAAGCCAAAGACTGCAATACAAGGAATAAGAAACTTAATCTTCTTGGAAACTTTATCTATTGTTTGCAGAACAAGAGCAGAGGGAATGAAAAGTCTTAGGTGTCATTTTATCATTCTGCATGAATAAGACATTGTATATAGCGTATAGAATAACAAATGAAGAATAAAAACCTGTCATCAGCTGCCTTTTTTTTAAAATTAAGAATAACTCTGTCAGCCATAAGTGGATTTTAATTGTCTTCAGCTTCTGACACAGAAAAAACCCCTTGGTATTTGGTGAAGTGGCCTCAATCTTTAGATCCACTGAATGTGTCTCCATTGACTATACAGGGGCCTGACACACAGTAGCTCACGTACAGACACCTACATTTCAGTGCCAGGGTCTGCAGCTGAGTCTTGTCCCAAGGGCTCAGCTTAGCTGCCCACTCCTTCATGGCTGCTGACACCTGAGATTCCCTAAAGGTGGGCAGATTAAGATAAATCCAACCCTGGATTTATTGGGGACAGGGGCAAATTTTTCTACCGTAAACCAGCATACCTATTCATCCAGACACTCAATGCCTTTTTGCATTTGTTTGGGGAAAGGTACAGCTAACATAGGCAAAGCTCCCTCAGGACTTTACTCAGTCCTCCACCATTTACCTAAAATTTCAGTAAAAGATTTACAGGATGTTGTGATGAAAAAAAAAAAAGAAAAGATCAATTTTTGATACAACATGTTCACAGAATCACAGAATGGTAGGGGTTGGAAGGGAACTCTGTGGGTCATCTAGTCCAACCCTCCTGCTG